GGGCTGCGCGGGGAGGAAGGGCCAGGGCGAGAGTCCTGCTCGTGTCCATCCTCTCCCTCTCCCCCTGCGGGCTGGGCGTGCACTGGGATGTTTCCCCAGTGTCCCCCGTGTCGGTCCAGGATCTGATGGCCCTTCCTGGGTGCTCACCGGCACCTCTCGGGTTGGATGCTCGTTGACTTTCTTCCCTGACACCCTGGCTGTGTCCTCCTGGATGCTGGATAAATAGTTGTGCCCTTGCCTGGGCATTCTCCCGTGTCCCCAGGGGACTGGCAGGCACCCGTGTGCCTCCGTGGGCACCCATCTGGGCTCCTGGGCAGCAGCTGTCCGAGCCCTGGAGGTGAGCAGGTTCCCTGCCCAGTCTGCTGACGGTTTTGTATGGTACCACATCTGCTTGAAGCCCTTCTTGCTGTGCCCTGTTCCCTGGCAAGAAGGGCTCAGTCCTGTGTCAGTGGAGTGTTGGCACTTGTTGCAATTGTGTCTGGGGCTCGGCACTAACTGGGTGGTTCACGGGTCTCCTCCCAGCCTGACACGACTTTGTATTATCAGCCCTCGGAAGGGATGGTTTGTTTGCTGCTGTGCTTAGATAAGGGGCAATGATGTGCCCTGAACTTAAAGAATTACCTGGATGCTACTCCCTGACCGTGGTGCTTTTTTGGTGGCGATACAGTATCTACCCTGGCCACCCCGATGGTTGGGACAAGAAAGTGTTGGGATCCTGTCACTGCAGGCACTGCCCTGCCTGGGGAGGACACTAGGACCCGAAGAGCTGTGCTCCTGTGCCCTGGAGCAGGCAGTGGCTGAATAGTTGAGCTCTGGAGCCTCCATCTGATGGAGGTGGCAGGAGGACTCAGTTTCCTCCACTTGCAGCAAGGTGTGGGGCCGCTCGGGGCTGCAGCAGGACACAGACCTCCTCACAACCGCTGCTCACAGCTCATCCCTTCTCGCTTCCCTTGCAGAGCACTACAAGCATCACTGGTTTCCCGAGAAACCCTTCAAAGGCTCTGGGTACCGATGCATTCGGATCAATCACAAAATGGACCCCATTATCAGCAAGGCAGCTAGCCAGATCGGACTCAGCCTACCGCAGCTCTACCAGCTCCTGCCCAGCGAGCTCACGCTCTGGGTGGACCCTTACGAGGTCTCGTATCGCATCGGTGAGGATGGCTCCATCTGTGTCTTATATGAAGCGACTGCAACGAAACCTGTGAGCTCCTATGGCATGCTTACCTGTAAGAACCAGATGATGTTAGGTCGCACCAGCCCTTCCAAAAACTACATCATGACTGTCTCCAGCTAAATACTCCTCTTGTCCTTACACTGCCGAGACACAGGCTACTGTATACCTCACCCGAGGATTTATTTTTAAGATGAAGAGCTATTTATATTTTTTAAAAAAATCCAAGAAAATCCAAAATTAAAATATTGGGCACCGCTTTGAACAGAAGCGGTGTTCTGGGTGCCTTTTTTTAAAGCTGTTGCAAGCTTACGAGTTTTTATTTTGAAGCCGATATCTACCTAATTAGTGTTGGATGGCAATTTGGGGCTGCTTTGCTCACTTGAGCAGCTTGGAATGGAGGATGAAGGAGAAGAGCCAGGCTGGGAAGTGTGACTTGGTGGTGGGATGTTTCTGTGTCAACTTCTCACCATCCTGCTACCCAACAGTATTGCTGTATGGCCAGGTATCGCAATACTGCTGGAGAAGGGGTGAAGGAGTTGCTGTCTTTCCTCCACTAACTTCACTCTCCAGCTGGTCTGGTCTCTTTGGGGCCTGGATATAGTGTTTGGGGAACCTTGCCTCAGGGCTGGGTGATGCTGGGAACCCTGGGATCCCTCTCCTTTGCTCTCGCACATCTCTGAACCCGCTTTGTGAGTGTTGCAGCTCTGCTCTGCCCCACTCCCAGCAGCAAGCGAGGAGGCGTGTGGCCTGTCTCCAGCCCCTTCATCCATCCTGTCTGCTGCTGGGCTGGAACGGGCCACGTGAGTGTGTGTCGGTGTCCTGTGGAGTGAGGCAGAGACGTGCTGGGAGTCAGACTGTGCAGAGGAGGTCCCCACAGTGAATATTGCCGCTCCTGCGGTGGCACTGGAATGCTGTTTGTTCCTGGTGCTCCCCAGTACCTGGCTATCGCCCGCTGCACACCGAGGAGGGTACTCCAGATGCTGGAACCGGCACGAAACAGCTGTGAATTACCTTCCTGTGGTGTGGCGCTTAGATGTCAGCCCACAACCTGCTCTTGTGTGACCTCTCTGTGCTCCAAGAGTGGAGTCTGGCCCCTTGCTTGCAAAAGTTGCCTAATCCAGTGCTGACGACTTCTCCAGAAGAGCTGAAGCAACTTGCCTTGTGCTCTAGAGGCTGGTGTGTGAGAACCCCCTTTGCCCTATCAAAATCAGGAGTGTTGTGAGGTCTCTTCCCCCTGTGTGGGGTGCTCAGATGCTTTGGTGTCCTAATGTTGCTTTTAAAGTCACAGCACTTCTTTCCCTCTCCTCTTCCCTGGGAGCTATCTCCACTGATACCTTGGTGAGGGGCGTGTTTTGATTCTGATTTCTTGGTACCTAACTGGTTTTTGCACAATTGATGCCTGGTGCTGTGCTCTGTCTATTCAAGTAAAACTCCTCTCAGAGTCCCAGCGGTACTTTTGTATTCAGGGAGACTTTGCCTGAGTGTTCAGGATTTGGCCCTTAAACTGCTCTGGCTACCTCCAGAGGAGGTGGGAGCTGACCGTGCTGCCCAAGAGCTTTACCTCTCTGTTGGGAATGAGCCTTTACCAGGATGTTGTATGTCCTTTGCCTTTTTACTAACCAGCTGGTGCTCCTCCAGTGATCCTGGGAGAAGTGATTGAAGAAGCAGGGCATTGACATGGTTGACTGTAACGAAATTTTCCCAGATTTGTGTCTCAGAACACTTCTTTTTTTTTTTAACCTTCCTCTTTTTCTGACCTGGCAGCTCACTGGCATAACCAGAGTTGTTCTTGCCCAGCCTTTGATGAGTCAAGTTCTCAGACATTTGTGCAATATGTTTCCCAACTTTGGGTGCTCTGGGAGAGGAAGGAAGCCTCCCATCTGCCACAGTTCTTAGCTTGGTTTGGTTTTTTAGTATATAAAAGAAATCAGCACAGCTCCCCATCTCTGACTAATGTGGAAAAGTTTAGACTTTTGTAATCTTCAAATCATGACTTCCCGAACTGGAAAACCAGCCTCAATTCTTAGATCCCTTTAAAAATGTCAAGTGGTGGGTTATTTGTCCTTGAATGGTAAGAGCAGGCTGTGCCTCTGAAATTGCATCACTTCCCTCTGCATCACTTGAATTTCTCATGTCAGCAAAGTAGAAGCTGAAATGAAGCACTGGGGCTTTTCCATTGGTGAACTTGTGCAATAGATGACCTCACTGAGAGGGGAGTATTTGGGAACTGCCAAAAAAGCAAATTCCCTGTTCGAGGAAACGGGATCTTAGTGTTTTTTTGGAACCCTCGCTTAACGTGCTTGCGCAGAAAGCCCATGACGAGAACTGCATCCAGGACGAGCAGTGTTTGTTTGCTGGACTCCTTGGCTGGATGTGGAGTTTCCTGAAGGCTGGTACTTCCTTGGGTTGTAATTTGTCATAAAACAGTCTTGCTATATACACCTCCACCCCCCTTTTGACTCTGTTCCCTCCCTTACAAGAAAAGTTGTTCAGGAACAACAGCCCACACCAAAGGAAAATACTATAATTGCTCTTACCATGCCCTCACTTCCAGAACCAAAATAGCCAAGTCTCATTCTTTTTGTCCCTGGTGTGGAGGAGTCGAATGTTAAAGGTGTCTGTTTTTAGCTTCAAAACCAACCAATCGTGGGTATAATCCATTTCCCTCTTGTAGCTGGTTACATGTAAAAGCTGTGAATTAGTGTGCTCTGTTGCCTTCTGCCTACAAGCCTGATGCTCGACTGCAGAGCTGACTGGTGTGTATCTTGAGACAGTGTATTTGAGGGGTTTTCTGTATTTTATTTTTTTTTTTTTTTACAAGCTGGACTGTTGAACGGGACCTGCTTTTTGTATTTGGTGAAGATGGTAGAAAGTTTGTAAGCTACACTTGGAGGAGGGAGTGGATGGTTACTAATTGTATAGTAGTGTTTTTATATACAGAATGTACAGATCCTTTGACAGACATATGCTTTTGTTACTTTAATAAAAATGTAGCAGTATAAACGAGCCTTGTGTTCTGGCTGGGAGCTGTTGTACACTTGCAAAGAGGGTGAGGGTTGGGACTGCAGCCTGAATCCCACGCCGCAAATTCTGTGGGCTGGCTCAAAGGGTGGATGACTGCTAATACCCAGCTGTGTCAAGGAGGAGGTTTAGAAAAAAAGCTGCTTAGTCAACATGCTGACTCTAAACCTGACCCTCTAAACCTGAGGAATTCAGGCTGGGAGTTGGTCTGATGACTCAGGCAGGGCTGCGGGTGTCCAGCCCTCTCCTTCCCCACGCTGGGCTCTGGCTTGGGCAGTGGGGGTTTTGTTGAGTCCAGCACTGTAGAAATCCTGGATTCTGCCAGGGCATGAAGGTGTTAGTCAACTGCCAGATCTTACCCAACCCTAGGAACAGCCTAAATGAAGTCTCGGGAAGAAGCAATTAAGGATCCGAGTGAGGCACAGGGGCAGTTTCTGGTTAAGCCTCCCTGCCCCCACTGTCCTTCCAGGGGTGACAGAGCCAGTGGAGGAGGAAGGGTGAGAGATCACGAGACTGAAATATTTGGGTGTGTGGAGGATGCTCTGGGCCTGTCATGATAAAGGCAGCCGGCGTTGATTCACACGAGATCCTGTTTTGGCTGCGCTGGGAGGCTGGTGAGCGCCGCCTGAGCTGTGACCCTGCTCCCCGGGATGGGGATGTCCAGCTGGTGTTTACCCCCCATCTGCACTCATTTTCTAGCTGCCCTAAGGACCTGAGCTAAATCCACTTGTGCTACTTTCAGTCCAAAACCCCATTTTTATGCCAAGTTGGGGCGCAGGTCCCCCCACCCTCCCTGGTGAGGGTGAGGCTGCTCCCTCCCCTCTTTCTTTTATCACAGTGCAGTGGGAGGAGAACGATTTGCAGGGCCCATTTTGGTGCTCTGTCCAAGCTGTTCCTTTTTGAACTCATCCCTTCATTAGTGCCCATAAACACACCCAAATTGCTGCTGCTTGTGCAACAGGGCTGGCGGGGAGGAACGGGCGTCCCATTCAGTCGCCGATTAGCTGGGGAGTCATGCAGGTTCAAAGGTTTGGTGAAGTCAGATGATGGCAGCCTTCCTCCCTCTGGCTTGTCCGGGCTGCCGTGCTCTGCCTGGACCTGCGTGCCGTCGGCTGTGGCCTCTTTTCAGGCTGGTGGAGTCCGTGCCGTGGCCAGCTTGGTGTGGTCCTGCGTGCTGTGGCCCGTGGCCGACACTTGGGCCAGCAGGCAGAGCCAAGATCATCTAAAATTCGAGTTCCTTACAGCCGAGATAAAAATACAGCTCTTACGCCATACAGTGCTTAGCGAGGCGGCAACGCTGCCACCAGCTGCCCCCCCCCGGCCTTTTAATAGGTGACTCATCTGCTATTTTTATTTTGCTTGTCGTTTTTCTTCCGGTAGGATCGTGATTCCTGGGATGCGAGCTGGGTTAGCTCAGGGCTACATCTTTATTGGCCCCCCCTGCCCTCCAAGCCCTTTCTAGGCCTTTTGATGCTGCTCTCAGCGCATTTTCTTGTTGGGAGATCCCCGAGCACGTCACAGGATCAGCTTAGGGGCACAAGAGGAAGGGATTGCAGAGATCTCAGCTCTTAAAATGAAACCAACTAAGCCCACACTCATCCAGTGCTGCCTGTCTCCTGCCTGTTGAAATCTGGAATTGTTTTCTGCAGAGATGGGTTTCCGTCGGGATTTTTTGATTCAGGGCAGTGTCGGATTCAAGGAACCTGGGTCAGATGTTGTCGCCTGCAATCAGATCCGTGTGTTGCATAAACAAGCGTTTGCTTTTGCCGTGTCCTCGGTGAGAGCTCAGCCCTTTGCCTGGCAGACCTGCCCGCTTCCCAGCACCTTGCAGGGGTCAAGCTCTGCCAGCACAAAGGGCTCAAGCTCTGCCCGCACAAGCCGGGGACTGAAACCCAGAGACTGTCCTGACTCGGTGGTAGCAACCACCCCAGCACAGGATCCCCGCCAGGTCCATGAGAACATTTTAATTGACTCATGGCAAACTTTGATTTTCTTTTTTTATGCATTTGCGTGCCTCTCTTTCCTGGGGTCCCCTTAGGAGCAATCGAGTGTTTCTTGATTCTAAGTGATCAGAAAAGCGATGTCAGTGTTCAGGATGT